GGCTTTCACCCTCCTGCTCATCTTTGTGTGCCAGAGATCCTGTTTCCTGTTCTCCTAGCTTCAGAAAAGGATCCTGAGTGTCCTCTCTAGGTCCTGAATCTGGCCCTGGCACTTACCACAAAGGTGATCTCAAGGAAGGTGCTAAACCTCTTCAAATTTAATTTTCAACTGTAAAGTGGGACCAGAAGAGGGGCAATCAAGTGGCGTGGTTACAGCATGGACTCTGGAGCCCCATATACCTGGTGTTTCACCCCAGCGCCATCAATGATGGAGCCCCCACACTCCCCGTACACACCTAGAAAGCTATGGAAAGATCAGGAAAGACTCTGTGAAGGAGGTAATATCCGAGGTGACATTTAGGGATGCATAGGAATTGGGGGCTTTGGGAGAGAGAAGACATTTTCTCAGCAGAGGAAACAGACTGAGCCAAGACCGAGAGGCTAGAAAGTATTTGTGTGCCTTAATGATTTGACTGTCCCCTCCATTTCTGCATTCCAGGGCCCATAGAACAGAGAACCTGGCACACAGGAAACGCACACACATAAATAAGCAGGGAGATGAAAACATAGATCCCCAGGAAACTCACCTGCCGCCTACCTTTGTGGGCTGATTCAATGGTGGTGGGAAAACAACAAGATAAAGGTTAAAGAAATTAATGAAGTATTAATGGAAGTTCTATTTTGATGATCAGATTATATCTGTTGGTTTTATTTTTTAGTTTTTGTTTTCCAAATTTTCTGCAATGAACATGTAGATTTTCATGATTAATCAGAAAAAATTAAAATTTAACTTGTTTCTTCTTGCTGGATTTTTCAGCTTCTGCATTGCTTTGCTCAAGAATCTTTTCCATATTTCCCTGGATCCAGAATTACACAGGGACCTCTGCATTCGCCAGATTGGCTGGTTCATCCCTAAATCCAGCTGGTGAGAGTCAACGACTAAAAGAAAAGACCATGTTAAGATTTGTGTGAATCTAGTCAGATACCCCTGGTTGCCAGGTAGCAGACATCCCTAATCAATCTCAGCGTTCTTTCTAACCAATGGCAGGCATGGCTCAGGGTCCAGGCAGCCATTAATCTGCCTTAGTGAGCACTGAAACAAAACCTCAGTGAGCATCCAGGAATGAGCGTGGAGACAAAGCCTCTTTGCCAATACAGGCTTTGTTTTCCCACAGTTGAGCACATCTGAATAAGCTTAGCACACAAAACACCACTGAAAGGAAAAACCTTCACGCAGGCTGCCTTCAATACTGTGGCTTTCAGTGCCTGCTCCACATCCACACAAAATAACAGTAAGTGGCAACTCACAAGAAGGCCTTTTTCCATGGCAGCGAGACTGGAGCAAGGCTATGTCTCCGTACTCACTGGAGCGGTCGGACAATTCCAGAGGCCACACATGAAAGTGTCTCAGTAATTTATGCAGAAGTTACATATTAGGGGCCAACAGGCTTAATCCTATGCAAAGACAGGTTCTGTCTGCACCTCCTTGATCCACACAGTGTCCTTAAAATATGAATTGGCTGCATAATTTAAAAAATAGAAAACTTATATACAAATATGAATTTCTGGCTTCTCTAGAAAAATAAAGGATAGGGGCAATGGGCAATGAAGGACCCAATTTTCCCCATGCTGACAGTTGGCCAGAGATGAGCAGAGACAGGGCGTGTGCTCTCCAACTCAGCTCCGTCTGTCTCCCTTATCCGTCTCTATACTGGGTTGTTCTGCTCATTTTGGTAATTGGTTTCCGCAGACCTTAGGGTCTGTCATTATGCTTTATAGCTATTTGCCTACACATGAAAAGCATTTTAAACCTACTGCCTACAATCCATTCACTATTTCTACGGGAGTTACGATGACTCTGCAAAGCGGTGTCTGTTGCTGCAGGACAGAGGACCCCTGATGTCACTTACCATCCAAGTTACCTTTTTCTGTCTTTACCCTGAGGCCTGGCTCAGCCAGGAGCTCTGCCGCAAGCTCATTTACCCCCTGAGGCTGGCAGCTATTTAGAGCTCCAAAGAGATCTGAAGAACACTTGATAGACTCCTGATCATTCGGGATGAAGACTTTCTTGTGCTTTGTTTTGCCTTGTTTTTGTAGGCCCAATCGATTCACTCAGCTTATTTGGCTTTCTGATCATCAAATCGAGTCAATGTTCTCACAGGGTGGACTCTGTGGGGTCCCAAGTGCAGCCTTTGCAGCCACACCAGGGCAAGTGCAGCGCACACAGGCAACCAGCTGGCAAAGGCACATCACCAGTGCCCAGCAGGACAACTATCTTCAGGTAATGAGGAATCATGGCATTTCCTTTCTCTCTGGAAGTTATATATTCAGCCTAGAACACGTGGTCAAGGGCTGGACCTGCTGATAGGCTTCTGAAAAGACTGAGGAAGGGTAGGTAGCTTCTATCTAAGGCCTCAGACAGAGAAACACTAACTTTAGTGGACTGGAAGTGAAGCTGCACTTGGAAAAATGATTTGGACCCTTCATTAATTGAAGGACTTACTAAAGGATGCTTTAAAAGCATTTATGGTTCTTCTCTACCCCCCTCACTCCAGACTGAAATTAGCCAGGGGTTTTTATGTTAAGAAAATATCACAGTTCACAGGTCAGGTCAAAAAGCCTTCTTTGTCATCACTGACAGCACCAGACATTTAAGGCTGATCCATGATGAGTGCACAATATCTAGAGATACAACCTTCTGATGGAGAACCTGGTAATCATCTTCACACAAGCGGAAGGAACCCAGATATCTGAAGGAGAAAGTTAGACCGAATGTCACAAGTCGTTCTTCTTCCAAGGCACCTATGGACTTCCATCGACCTTCCAGCCCAGGTTACACATACATAACAATGAACGATCATGATATTAGGTCGAATTGCATGGCTTTCCCCTTTCAATCCCCTCTCCTCTGTGAATCCCTCCTTGAGCTTCAGGGCAGGGATACAGTCTCCCTCCTCTCTCCTCCTAAAGCACCTAATGCTTATGTCTATTAGGGCACTTACCACATTGTATTTACATGTTGCGTATCGCCTACAAGATCTGAGAGCTCATCACTGTGTTTTTGAGACCTGGCAAAACAGTGCAGGATTTTTAGAGACCAAGTGTTTGTGAAAGGCAGGAAGGAAAGAAAGGAAGGAGTGTCGGAAGGAGGGTGGAAGGAAACCCAGGCCAGATGGATGAACTATACAGCATTACCCACCCCAAGGGTCTGAGCTCCTCTTCCCAGCTGTTGGCACATGTTGCTTTCTGAGTCTTGGGTGTGTTTACTGTTTTGTTAGATTGATGATCTCTTGTCATCCTTCAAGACTGTTCAAAACTCCTTTCAGGAAGCCTTCCTGCATCCCTCTCCCACTTGCCCCTCCTAAGTTTTTACTCTCGTTCACAATTTCATTTGGTATGTGTATCTCCCAGCTAAATTGTGAGCGCCTTAGGCCGAGAACTGGTTTTTGTTCCTTTAATTCCTAGGAGTTGTTCCTGGCATACAGGTTTAATAAATATTGGCTGAATAATTAAATCACTGAGTGGCCATCCCTAACCCTTGCACAGCAACCTAACGGATGTCTGGCTTAAATTTCAAGTTACCTAGGAATTCCACGGTGAGCATATGGATTATCTACTTAATTATTAGCATTGAAGATTTAATTCTAGGGCTCTTGTTCTATTCTCCAGGGAGTTCTGGCTTCTGGGTCACTTTCTCAGTCAGTCACCGAGGGGTCATAGAATAGAACTCATTTCAATGTCAACCTCAAAAACAGAATGACTGAAAGGAAAACCTGTCAAAAACCAGGTAATTCTTTTTTTTAAATCAAACATACATGACACTCTAATATGCTTTCTTAATGTATAATATTCATGTCTTTTAAGTATTTCTGTATTTTTATTACATGAACTGACATATGGACCGTGATGAGTGGACATAAAAGTCACATACAATTATTCAGACCTGGGTAGAAGAGGCTCTCCGAGGGGATCTTTAAGTACGGTGCCCACTGGAGAGTAAGAGCCAATGAAGGCTAAATAAAGAAAGCTGAGGTCACAAAGGGCAGGCAGAAGTTTATCAGTTGGGTTTGGACTTGTTCCTACAGGAAACGAGAAGCCCCTGCAAACTCTGACCAGAGGAGCAGTGTGGTCAGACCAGCCCCTCCCTGTGCCAGGGCAGGAGACCCACGAGGCGTCAGGGGCTCCCGTGGCCAAACCAAGGCACGGCGGTGGGGATGGCGAGGAGACAGGCCGACAGACACTCATGAATATCGTCTGATGAGCTGCACGAGAGGAAATACCCTCCTTCCAATGTTTTCGATAACAGTTTGTATAACCAACATTTCTATTTCCTTTACAGCTTGACTGTCGATTTGGTAGCAGGTCAAAAGTGTGGATGCCATTAACAGCCACTGTCCTTAAACTCAGAAGAGAGGCACTAACCAAAAAAAATATTGATCATTATGATTTTATAGTGCGTTTTTTCTGACTGATGAGAAGCAAAGCATTTCCATTAAACCCAATGAAACTGAGTCCTAAACAGGAATATATTCATCATTAACCAGAGATTTTATTTTGCTCCATTAACTGCTTAAATTTTCAGGGAGTCTTCTATTAAGAGATCTGTGCTAAAACTCTGGATGGTATCAGGCACATGGCCGTTTATTCAACAATACATAAGAACACAGAAAAGGGGGTATGAAAAATGACCAAAGTATAAAGCTACAACATTTACATTAACAAAGGTTTTAATACAGACTTGACTGAAAGATGCATACAGTGAGTACTGAATCTCCATTCATAGGCAGCCAATGAAATTATGAATGAATTTATTGAAACAAAACTTCAGGTTGTGCACTTAAAAAATTACAAACCATGTAAAAATGAAAATCAACCATAGAAGCAATGGCTATCGAATAGAATGGGATGACTTGAAAGAAAGGGTTCAAGTATTGTTTGTAAAGTTCTTCAGACACCAGTCTTTGAAAAGTTGTGCATTTCCCATCTTTGCATAGTAAAACCAAAACCAAAACCACACATACCACTTGGCAGAACTCCATAGCTCTATGTGATTCGTGTTTCAGAACATGCACCTATGTGTACTGCTCACTTATCTAATAGGAGTAGCTCTAATTCGGGGGAATCATGCAGTGTCCCAGGTGAGCAATGAAGTCAGCGTGCATCTCCTCGTCCATGTGTCGCTGGTCAATGCAGCAGGAGTGTAGTGGGTGAAATGGGAACTGGTCATTACTGAACACTGACTCTTGTCGGGTAACAAACGGTGATACGCTTGTGCTTTGAGATCAAAGTAATAGCGAAGATTATTCACACCATGAAAATCAGCAAATGAATGGCATGGGCAAGAGAGAATACAGCAGAGTTTGAAACTACATCACCTAATACCACCAAAAGTAATTATAATCCATTGTTTACGATTGGTATGGTTGCATAATCTTTCATATTCATACACACACAGCTTAAAGCTTGTGCATTTTACATATACACACAAACAACTGAACAATGGAGCATAGGTTTGGTTACCTATGAAACTGCCGGTGTAACAAAAAGTTACACTGACATTTGCCATATATACATAATATTTGGGGACCACTGTGGTCTGATTTAAAACATAACATCGCACGTTTACAATGTTGTTTGTGAAATGCTCAAAAGTTGATAATAAAGATTGAACTTGTTTTGTAACCACCATGGTTTTGTTTCTATTAAGTCACCTGGTGCATCTGGAAGAGCAGTGAAATGTACACAGTGCGCTCAGCAGCGGTTTCGAATCCACTAGTGAGCAAGATCCAGCAACAGAGACATACATGATGCAGTGATGGGAAGAGATGCCGAGTAATCTGAGTTTCCTCCGAGGTGAAAGAGCCACTGCCACTAGGGACAGGGGGCATACAACCTGTGTCTGAGGAAGCCAAGAATAAGGCTGGCACACCTTGCAGAGAACCCTGTTACAGCAATATAAACATGTGGCTATTTCTAGAGGAAGGTTGCATACTGGTGTAGCACCTAGTACTCAGAAAGCAGTAACAGGATTAAGATGTTAGGTTATGGTCTATTGGAGCATATAGAAATCAAGGCTTCTTGCTCAATGACTGTGATACTTCCACACTTAAAAATACATGGAGAAAAATGCACTGTTTCAAGCAGCGCATTTTTAGGCCATAATCCTCCCCAAAGTCAAAGCCAAAGTTGTGAGACTAGTGTCGTGAATCGTGCTGAAAAGGAACTGAAAGCTATCAACTTGGTTGTCGTGAAGTGAACAGTATAATTGATGTCCTGTTCTTGAAAAGAGGACATCAGAGAACTATGGGTATTTGGGGGTCTTTCAGGAGAGCTCATTTCCAGAAGGACGCTTACTGAAGGATCATGGACAAGTTTTACATTCAAAACCAAGCTGGGGCCAAATTTTTTTAGTAACCTGACTGGAAGTGAAGATGACCATATTTATGGAAGAAGAAACCTCAGTGAAAGTGACCTAAACTCAGAGAGACTAGAGAACCCAGATTAGATCTGCAAATCTGCCTGGAAGGAAAAGAAGGTGAAGGTGCGTACGGCAGAACCCTGCTGCCACCGTGCACAGTGGTCCACAGACCAGCAGCGCCCTGTGGGCATCCGACGAGCTCACCAGAAGGTAAGTGGCTCTTTGCCTCCATGTCCAGTTTGACAGTGGGCTTCTACCATATATATTTCAGAGCAGTATGATGAGCACGAAAGAAATATTAACAGTAATAGATATGAATGAAATAGAAAGCTTAACTTATTCCCAAGCTTTCAACACTGAAATTTTTTTTTAATTTAAGGCTTTAAGTTTATCTTCCTTTCACATTAAAGACAGGGGAAAAAATTGTCACAACCAAAAACTAAAATCATGAGCTTGGCACTTTTGTGATTAATTTGAGAGGGTGTCTACTTTCTTACATTATATACATATGCTTATAATGACATTAAAAACTTTTAGAGACTTATCAGTACATATACTTCCATTTACATAATTTTCGTGTTTTTAATATGGGTTATTTTGTTTTGTGTCCCCCCAACTTTTGTTTATTTTTGGTTTCGAAGCATTTCATGTCATTCGAGCATTTCCTTCCTAAATTGCACCTGTTTTGTGCCCAAACTCCCTGCATCAGTGACTACGTCTGTCTTTTCTAAGCCCAACAATCACTGTACAACATGATACAAGAGAGAAGGACAGAGACACCTATGCTGAGAAAAGGAACCAAAAAGATGGGGAGCAAACAACAGACTCAAATTTACAGAGAACCTTTACAAGGAAAATAGTTCAATACAGACAAATGAACGTTGATGTGTCAAAATCTTTTTCCATATTTACATTTATAAAAGAACTATACAATAGCATCAACGCTCCAATTCCGGCTCCCACTTCCAAAGGCTGCTCAGCCCAGGAGAAAAGACAATGGGAAAGTGAATCACAAGAGCAGGGGTCTCTGGAGTTCATGGTCTGGTTTAGACTAGGGGGTGGGGGCCAGGCCACTTCTTCATGTTCATCTGTCATCTCCACCTTAGGAATTCAGTTGCAGGTTTTGCTGCGGATTGGCTTGCTAGCTGCTTGTTGTAGTTATGCCATGCAGATTTTACCCTTTCCAGAATTAGATCTTCATGCCACTGGAGTGTGTCATTGGTAGAAAAAGAAAAAAAATCATGCCAGGTCATTTATAAGTTACTAAGTGCCGGCAGGCTGAGGAAGGAAAAAAAAATCATTTGTTATTTTTAATGGTTCTTTTATTGCACTTAATTTTTGTTGTTGTTCCTTCTTGAGACCTTTAGTTAGGAAAAGACATCCTCGAATAGTTCTTTTTATAACACTGTCTTTTGTCCCCCTTTTATTGACAGGTGGTGGGAGGAGTTCTTTGAAATGATTTCCAAAAAAGGACGGTTTTCTTTTACCTCATCCTTGTCACCCCAACTTGAGTTCTGTAGTCATGACCACCCAATGTTCTTGTTTACAGGCTTAAGAGTTCTGGCAACGTCACTGAAAGTACGTCATACCCAGAATCCAACAGTGCGAGGCACCGTTCACCCAGTGCAGCTGATTCAGATGGGGCCTTGCTGAGAAGGATCGAACCTCCTCTTCTTGACATTTCTTCCCGAGGGCGTCGACGATGCAAGCAGAGGGGAGAAAAATCCACAATATTAATCAGATCATGATGAGAGAAGGGTGATGATAATGACAATGCTAGTTCCAGAGCAAAGTAATCAACCCACACCGAGGCAGATTTTCTGAAACTATCTTGCAACTGAAACACAGAACACCTCCTACTTTTGAATGTCTTGACATCTCCACTGGAATATACCCATTTGTGAAGACCAAAAGAAGCTTCAAGTTGTTCATTTGAAATCATTGGAAGTCTCAGCAGCCCAACTGGTCTCTTATTTCAGAAGTTATTGGCATGGCTAATTGTGACTAAATGAAAATTATGATATGGAGAACTCTTTCATTTAGGAGGACTAAGATAAACTCTGAAGGTTTTGCAGCTGATTTCCTCCAGGACCTGAGAGTTCAGGATCAGTGCATCAGCCTTTGCCAAGAGGGCAAAAAGCCTCATTCTACTCAGTTATATTGCTGCCTTGGCTGAGTGAGCAATTACCAGGCCATGGAACAAGCATTTTTCATGTATAGAAAGTTGAAAACCAGAGTGCACAGGAAGACAGTACACTCAGAGGAGAATGGACACAGGCTCAGGTTAGTTAAGCAAATGCAGCAGATTAGCTTAGTTGAAGGAAGCAAGTTAAAATTAGCTTAGTTGAAGGAAGCAAGGTAAAGCCTTGCTCACAGTGTCCAGTCTCCTGACAAGTGGTTCTTATGTTTAAAAAGAGAAGAGAACCAGCAAGACACTTGTACAAGGCAACGACAAAAGTTGGCTGCAACCTCCCCTTGGTCTGGTTTCATGTGGGGCATCAAGCAAGGGGGCTCATGCATTTAATCTGCGCACTGGGCGGGTGCAACACTGCTGCCACGGAGGCATCATGCAAAACCGGAGACCGAGGGGTCCCCAGGAGCCCTCACTCCCCTGCCCACTCTCTCGTGGCCAGCGGGACGCCCTTCCAGCCCCACGTACCGAAAGGATTACAGTATACTCCTCCTCCCCACTAGGTAATTCAAACTAAAAATAATAGCAAAGCTCAAAATAGGTATGAAGGCATCCTGTAAAAGTTCTTAGATTTTCCCCCAAATGACCACTTTGGTGCTTCCCTTTTGAGATATCAAATATGAAAGTCTTTAAAGAAAATCTCCTTTTTCTTTTTGAAAGTTTTTATTAAAACATCTTCTTTAATGGCCCAAGCATATGGTTCATTGATCTAGCAGGTAATCCACTGTGGTGAATACTATTAAAACAGTGCTACTTCCTTTTCTTTCCTATCTCCCACCACCCCCAACCCTCATTTGAGTCAATATTCTTGAACGAAGGCATTGCTGATACTGGCTCAGAAATAGAGCTGAAACCAAAGGGACGTCTCCCATAACGCATCCGTCACTAAGTGCTTCAGAGCACAGGGTATGTGTCTTCTACCCATGCTCGCAGCCCGTGAAGGCTGATATATAATGAACTACACTTCCAGAGAATCAGGTGGGGAAAAACAGGGACTGCTTGACCTTGTAAAATAACCCTGGACTACTACTAGTTAGCTATGCATTACTGGAACTAAAGAGAAATGTTAAACTAATGTTTCCATTAAAATGAATATAGAGGAGACACGAAGCCAGCTGGCGCTGTGCATGTAAATGATTGTATTGCCCACATCTAAATTCCTTTATTCAAATGCAGGGAATGCCAGGTAAATAGCCATGTCCAAGGTCATAACTGCAATCCAGTTCATTTTTAAATGGAGATATGAAATCCCATTTCAGCCTGGCCTACAGGCAACTCCAGTGTCCACAAGTTTGTGCTCCCCCTGACAGTCAGTTTTGGAAGCTTAGACTTCATTTAAAAAAATAAATAGAAACAATGTTCGACAGGTCACTGGGTTCCACGGCTTAACCAAGAGGCCAAACCGTGCTTTAGAACCATGTATTTCTGAGACGATGGAATCTGAATGCCAACAGGATTCCAGGACCATATTTCCTTCCTGCATGACAAGGGGCACACTGGTGAGACAGACTCACTGTGAAGGTCCCTCACATATAAACTGTAACCACTGGGGGACACTGTATGTTGACAGCCGCCTGCCCTGAACTGTCTATATGAACAAAACCTTTTTGTCCAACTGTAACGTGAAAGCACCACTACTATGGATACGTGCTTACTGTCTGCCTTCCACGCTGTTTCATCTGAATACTCTCTGCTCACTAGGGTAGTGATGGCAATTCACTTCCTCATCATAACCTGTACCGTAGTTCTGCATCATTATAAAACAGTGTCGTAACCAATAAACCTTGCATTGACCCACTTTCCATGACCTTTTACTATTTCTGAAAAACCTGTACTTTCTTCTATACTATATATTATACACATATACGTCTATATAAAATTAAAACAAATCTTTTCAGGTAACCATAACCATCTCAGATTGTAAATCCTTTAGATCTTTCAAAGGTATATTTACCTACCACTACTACAGTGAGTCTTATCTCTCCACCGTGAGTCCTTGCCTGCCACCAGTAATGCCTCACCCAACCCTTTCTAGGCCACCTTAGACTGAGTTCCCTCCCCGGACAGTTGAGTCAGGGGGCTGAACTGGGTCTTTCTGGCCCACCTGGCCCCACCACCACCTGCTAGATCCGAGTGAGAAAGTGCCTGACTCAGCAGTGGCCGGCACTAGGGAATTCTGCACTGGGGTATGGTCATGGAGTTCCAGTAAACAGCAGTCTGGTTATCCGCCTCGTGGGAAGACTAAGTAACACTGATCCAATTCCCTAACTCTGTAAAATCCAAAAGAAATAAAAATATACTGATTCTTTCCAGAAAATATTCTTACCCATATTAAGTTCCTTTGAAATTTCATCCAACTTGACACCCCAACAATTCAGTTAACTTTCCTTGTGAGGACCCAGATAGGGTCCTTTACATCTTCACGGTGTGAGAGCCTAACCAGCCTTTTCTGTAGAGTGGCCAGTGAATGGAACATGGGCCAAACATAAGTGCTGGCAAAGTCAGGCTCAGTAAGAATCTGCACCCCAAAAACTTCTCACAGAGGAGAAACCACATATGGTAATGCCACTCTTCCTACATTAACTCTATTAATGTCAAGAGCAGCTCTGCCAGGTCAGCATGGCCACCACTGCCATGAACCCCACGGGGAGAGCAGCACTGGGAGAGGGGAGAGGCTGCTGGGGTTCCACAGACCAAGATGCTACAATATAGTTGGGAGAGCGTAACACTCATCCTAAAATCTTGTGGTTTGAATTGCCCACAACCCGTGTCACTGCTGACTTCAAGTAATTTTCCTACCATCGCCTAGAGTTTCCCTTTCCTATTACCATGAACTAGGATGATGTTGACAGACTTTATGTGCATGCGAATGACCAGATCACTCATGTCAACTTTCCTGTATTCAAATTTAGACAATGTCAGATAAAAAGCCATGTCCAAGGTCATGACATTCTGTTCATTTTAAATTGAAGTATGAAATTCTCTTTTCCTTTTTTGGTCCTCTTTTCTCAGCTTTAGAGAAGATGCTACTAAAATGGCCCTTCATCTCCATGATTTTCTCCAAAGTCTAATACAAGCAACATCTCTAATAATGTAATCTTGTAGGTTATTATTCAATGTTAGATAGAGGCTATGCGTCTCCACAAGTCCCCCAGGACAGAGGGCTGCGACCCTCTGTGCCACAGCTCTAGCCTGGGGGTGTCAGTGACAGACAGGAAAAGAGCATAAGGTGAGGGTGATAAATGCAGATAGGTGGGTATGTTGGACAGTGTGGCGCACCAAGACCCTATGTTTGTTTTCAACAAGATTTCTCGGAGAAGAATTCTGAGACCCTAAAGGCTGGGAATCTGTAGACTAAACCATCCCTTAGAGACGTGATACTTTTGGAGTATGACCTTAACTCAAGTTACTGAGGTATATCTACCATATTACCGAACACATCAGACTATGTTGAATAAAAGAACCTGCCAAATAAAGCACTTTTCTACTGTAGGATTTCCTCAGGAATTCTACACTCTTGCTTGTGGGAATCTTGTTCGCATTAAGCAAAGACTCTACTATTCTGCTAAGCAGTAACCAAAATTTATTTTATTTTTGATCACAATAATCTGGACAAACCATCATTATCACCTTATACACCCAAGGTACATTCATTCACACATGCTTGCACACTCACGTACACTCCTGCTTTTTACCACGTATTTCACAGGGAATATGGTTTAAGAGGAAAAACTATATATAAAGAACAGCAGACAGTGGCAGGGTCGCAGTATAGCTGCACTTCTCATTTATTCTTGGACAGGTCAGGTATGGTATGACACCACTCCCACATCTGCCCTGCTCAGTGTCGCACCTGAGCAAACACACCTGAGGAAAAAGTGACAACCCCCCACAGTGGTTCTGCATCTTCCTTTAACCTGAAAGTTTACGTGCCCTCAAACCCTTCAGGGTTCTTTGTTAACATCTCTTCTAGTCATAAAAACCTGATAGCCAGAGGGATTTCCAACAAAGGTATTTAGAGCAACCTTCAAAACTATTTTTGAACTTTTGTTTCTGAAGGGAACTCTTCTGTATGCACATTGAGCTTAATGAAAAACTCAAAGGCTTTCCATTCCACTAGGAAATATATTCCCAAAGCATGTCTAAACTAATCACGTCCCCAATTGCCCAAGGGCTGAGACAACCTAAACTTTACCATTTGTCACCCAAAGTCCGTTATTGCTAAGTTGAAGTAGTTCTTTAATGCTGAACATAAACCACATAGCTACTATTGAAATTGAAAGCAAATTTAGAGCCTCATTGTAGCAACCAATAGCATAAAAAGCAGCAGTTTCTCCACATTTAAAGTCCTAAAGTTGTTTCACTTCTTCATTTTCTTTCAGAGCATAAAAATCTTGACTCCACACTGTTCTGGCCCTTTCTGCAATGTTTTTATTAGGGTCACAGGGCATGGGAAGGGGCACCGACCCAGCCTGCCAGTATGTGCCTGCAC